CAACATTCCTCTGCTACACTAGATAATTCTGTGTGACTTTAAAAAATTCTTTATTTTCAACAACTGCTTATATGCATCAAAAGCAATTTGTACTGGAACTTTTGTCCTTCCCAACTTTCCATTAAACACACACAATACTGAACTATTTACACTTTATTTTTAATAGCTACAGCACAAGATTATTCTGCTCTGCGCACCCGAGAGTGCACAATAAAATAACTGTTTGGCAGGGGGAAAATGCTCTGTTGTCTTGCAGTACCAGTTGGTATTATGGAGGTTTGTTTGGTGTCTTATTTATAGTGGATTGCGATTGGAAATGTGATACAAAACAAACACGAGTGTTCCAGGAGCTTAACCATCCATCAGATTTTTACTTGGATAGTTTATTTTTATTTTAAGCATCTTTTATCATGACTTGAAAAACTACAACAGAGGAGGGACAGTTGTCAGTCTGCTGTCGTCTCAGCATCCACGTTCTTAAAAGAAAGATAATGTTCCATGTTGCATCCTCCAGGAATGCTCCCAGGCAGATTCGTATTTATACGAATATCCTTTACGTCCTTTATATCCTTTACATCTTTCATATCCTTTACACCGCCCGTAGAGAGTTTACTCCAGTCATGAGACCTGTTGCTGCAGGTGAGAATCCTGTGGATGAAGAGTTTACAAATAAACTTCGTTTCTCTGATTTCTTTTTTTTTTTTTTTTTCTTTTGGGTTGCATATGAAAAGCACTTTTTTTCAGTATCTTAAAATCTGTTTTCTGTTAAAGAAAATGGGGCCCGTGTTTAGGTTTTGAAAACCCTACGGACTGCTTGCAGTGCTCTTCCCCATCGTTTTGGCTCTGCTGGCCTTGGGCTGGGCTCGTTTGTGTGTGCATGTCCATGGTGGTGCAGGTATGTCTGTGCTCCCCTCGGATACGCAGGGTTTAGGCTTTAATGCTGTCCGTTCTTCCTCTCCAGCAGTGAGGAATTCAGTGGGATTTTTTTTTTTGCAGGGATACAAAAATGCACAGAAAGCACTGTTTTTTGTGTTTAAAAATCTAGCTAAGTGATAATCCTTCTAAGGCAAATATTTTGTAGAGAAATGGTATCCGGGTGTTTCTAGTCAGATTTCAAATAAAATCCTAATTGTTTTTTTTCTCTCTTTTTGTCTAGTGTGGCTTCCAGCTCCTACCTTCATGCATTACTAAGCAATAAACATTTCTTGGTTTGCTGGCTCTCTGCTGTGTGTGTTTACGACGTGTGTGAGGGAAGCCTTTCAAGAGAAAGACTAAAAAAACTCGTTAAGGCAGCGGAGGACAAAAATGAATCATTTCACTACTTTTTTAGCTTGTGGTTGGTGCAAACTATTGTCTCCTCAGTTTAAAATCAGATGATTTATACCCTAAAGGTGCATATGAGCCTTTCCAGTAATTCTGAATGTTTTCAGAAATGCCGTTGGATAAAATGAAAAAAGTAACTTTTTTTTGGTGCTGTTTTGTTGGGAGGATTTTTTTTTATTATTTTTTTGGCTTAAGAACAAGCTGCAGCCCCAGTCTGGCATCGGGGGGCTGCACAGAACCCCCTGGGGGGGATGTACTTCATCCTCTTGGCTGTTCCATGCGGCTGGACACCGTCACCCGCATCCTTCCCATCTGCAGTCGGTGGGATGCGGATGGATACTGAAGTGCCCTCCCAGGATCTCTCTGGAAGGTGATGGGCTAACGCGGGAGATTTTGACCGCTTTGTTTTTTGACATTGTTAATTGTTTTTCTGAAGCTAGATAATATTACCAGCTTTGTTTTCCAGTTCGAATTTACACACGCACACAAAAAAGCCCACACCCTTTCAAAGAGATGGAGAGTATCATATTCCCTGCCAAAGCCAAATACTACCTAGGTGATAAATGAGGGACTTTTTTTGGAATTGGAGGGGGGTAGAAAAAAAAAAACAACTGCCTCTCTGGAGGTACCTTCCAATGAAAGATGCCATAGGCCTGCTGCAAACCCCATAAAGCTTTCGCAGTATAGGTGAAACCAAGTTACTCTGTGTGGAATACAACCAGTATTGTAATTATAGCTTTTTTACTAACCAGTGGCCTCTTTTGGGTTTTATTTTTATTCCTCCCCCCCCCGGAAACAGTGCAGATAAGCAGCAAGGAGAGGTGGCCGAGGGGCTGTGCCGTGCCCCTCTGCACTACAAGCTGCTGGTACGGTTCTGTGCATCTTCCCCCTTCCCTGCAAAGCCTGAACCTTCCCTGAACAGGGGTTTGTGTCTGCAGTTGGCAGCCAGTAGGTTTGGATTTGAGTGCAGGCTTGGACTCCGGTTTAAAACACTACAGGCACGTACTAGTGTGATCAGGACACCTCACTGTCCTCAGAAATTTAGAATGAGATGTTGTTTTTGAAAACGTACCTCCTCTGTTCCAGATCAGTAAATAAGATGGTCGCTGTGCCTGGATATACACCAAGAGAAGAGGATGCTGCATGTTTAATCTCAGAGGCCTGAGCATTGTCTTGGATGTGGGAATGGTGACAGTGTGTTTGACACAACATTGAGTATCTGAAGTCCTTTCTCAAGCGATAAATATGCACTGATCTGACTAAAGCACTATTTACTCTCTGTACCCTTCGAGTCTGTCTCTGAAGAGAAACTCCTTCCAATATTTTTCCTGGTCAGTAGTTGGATGGAGGCTGGGTCTGCTTTCAAAGCACTTGTCTTTAATGCGCATCAGGTTACCCTGAGGTAAAATGGAAACCTTAGATGTTACTCCTGTAAATAAATGTTTACATAATACATTGCACTGAACTTCTCACCATTGCATGTCTAAGAAAAAAAGGTCACTTTTGACATCAGTAACCTTTAGAGAGCCATGCCTTTGCCACGCAGGTGAGGAAGGTGACTGTGCACATTCCTTTGACTAGATGAAGAAGGTAGCAGAGGTCAGATGTTACTGCCTGCAACTCCTGAAGCTTGGCATTCTAGGCTTTAAAGAGCAAGATTTGGTTTTTAAGGCATGGGTCCTGTAAACAGCACACGCCCAGTTTTGCTCATGTGAGTAATTCCATGGAATCCCTTGGCACTAGTCACATATGAAAAGCTAAATCTATAACGTACGTTGGTTTGGGGTCAGGACCTCAACTCTTCATTTCTAACTGAGAAATTTCCTATAAAACATACGTGGTCACAAAAGAGAGTGGTTTGGGATTTGGAACTGAATAAGTATCTATCTCTTAGTTTTACTGCGTTCGTGTCAAAAGACTTGCCCAGCACCAAAGGTGAAAATATTACCTTCCTATAAGCCAGCAGGAAAACTGCTGATGTGTCATCAGATGAAGGATTTCTCCCTGAACTTAATCCGGGAGATATGTAGAAAAAGAGAGAGCTCAGTCTTCTCTGGTGGAATCCGTCCTGGGTGGCAAAACATCCTCCTGGCACGTTGGGATTGTTGGGTCTTGGGACGAGAGCATCAGCTTACCCACTCCGTGACACGGGAATCATCAATAGCCCAAAACTTTGTGTTGAGGGGTGCAGTGGAACAGGAGACCCTGATGATAAATGGATTTTTGCTGTTTTTGTATTTGAAATATTGGCAAAACTGGTAGGTTTTGAGGCACTGAAAAGACTGAAGTAGGAGCTGTGATGCTATGGTCTCCTGCCTTTATTTATTTCTTGATCTTTGTCCACAGATAATACAAAATTAATAGCATGAGTGATTAGCCCCACATATACCTGTGACAAGACTTGATGGCTTTTAATGTGCATTGCTTTTTTGGATGCCTGGTTCCAACTTCGCTTCCCTCCCCATCTCTCTTGCTCCTCCCCCGCAATTTAGAGGAAAAAAAAGTTCTTTAAATAGCCAGCTCTTTGCTTTTGTGATGTACCGGGCAGCCTTCCTAGCATGGCCCGAGATACCACGAGCGCAATCGTGGAACCTTGTTTACAGCTGTCAGGTTGGTCGGGATTTCTTCATGGGCATTATTTCCTATATTTTTTGATTATTGTTATTATTTTTTCCCTCCTGAAAACCCCTATATATTGCCATCGAGTTGTCTTGCACGCTCCCGATGCTTCCCTTGTAATATTAATGAGCCCTTCCAGGGCATACAGTGCTGTCTTTGTTCCTATAGGAGCGCTGGGGAGGGGGAGCGGGTGCTGCTGCCATACCCGGAGCAGAGCTGCCCAGTTCGGCGTTCCAGGGCCGTGGTTTTACCGGTGAAACGGTGCGCGGGGCTCAGCAGCCACGCCGGGCTCGGCGGCGACGGATGGCGGCTGCAGGTGGCCCGCGCTGACAGCTGGCTCACATGATGCCACCCCTCCGCCTCCGCTCTCCCGCGCTCCGGCACAAGCATCCCGTCGCTTCCAGGAATGTAAAGGCTGGGGGTGCAGGCTGGAAGGAGGCCGCTTTGCTTCG